ACTTTATGATACACATTTGTGTGTGCATGTAAGTATATATATATATATATATATATATTTTTTTTTTTTGTTTTTTTTTTTTGTTTTTTTTGTTTTGTTTTTTTTTTTGGTTTGATTATATTATGGTAATGCACTATTGTGAGTTTCTTTATCTTTGAGGTTTTTCACATAAATCACCGAACACAATCAACGCTGCAAGATACACATCCTTTTTTTCGGTTCTACTATTTTGATTATCGAGACACTGGACTTTTATGATTTAGTTTTGATCATTGGGACACTGGACTTTATGATTTTTTGTTAGTTCACGTATAGAACTATATGGGGAAACTTTTGTTGTTGTACATATAGGTAGACTATTTGATAAAAGAGGGAAGATTCTCCTTTGGACTAATTTATTTAATTTTAAACTTTCAGGGGTTGAAAGTTTTTTTTCCAATTTGGAATTAGTGTAGGTTTAAGGGTTATTGATCTGATATCACATTCACATTGTATTTATAAGTATAGATACATTTAAGGAAACACAAGGAGCGAAGATGATTTGCAACCAACAGTAACCCAGACAATCATATTTTGCTGTTACAGCCCATTCAAATCTACACAACCATTGCAGAGCATGTGATAATGCACACGCATGGGTAACAATTGGCTATTATACAATGTAGATTACCTTTAAAAACACGATTAACTGCAGTGCCTACCTGTGAATCAGTAATATAGGAAAGAATATCTACTTGAAATCCATCTTCATACAGAAAAAAAAAATCAGGAGCTACACATTGACGTTTCACTGCCACTTTCATGTCTGGAACTAGTGGCTTTGTAAGCGCACTGTTTTATTTGTCATGACAGTTGTTGTACTGGCATTTTTTCTTTTAGGTGGAATTTCTACTTTTTAACAAACATACTACACTATATGGGGTCCCCTGCTTGTGGCTCAGTGTGGTGAGCTTTTTTTCCCAGACAGTATCAAGCAAACCTCTTGCCTGTCACCAGTGGTGAGAATCAATACTGCAGGGTACCGATTTGTAAGAATGGAGCTGGTTGACCACATGTGAAGGATCCTGTTGACACAAAAGCACCTGTTACTGGCAGCTTCAATATCAGTGAGTGCATTTTAGCTCTGTTGCTCACGTGTGGTGGAGAGGATTTCCATTCATTGGTGGAAGACACTTTCTCTGCAGTGATATTTATCACATATATGTTAGACTATTTTGCATTGGACTTTATTTACACTGATTTATTTTTTGTTTTTGAGTATTGTGGATGCTTTTTGCACATTATGAACGTTGTGTTTAGTACATGCTTTAAGCTTGTAATATTCTTTATTTAGAGGCGCTGCATTAATTTCTTTGTTAGAAAAAAAATCATGTATTTTACTGCAGGTAAAAAAACAAGTGTGCAATATCATAAATCAATTAAGAGTTTTAGAATTTTGTGCTCCCTTGCTCAGATGCTGTGACTGTGGAAGCAAACGTTTCTTTTGGACTAATGATTACTGGATTGTGCTCTGTCAATACAGAGTCAATAGAGAGTGGGAAGAGAGAGTATCTGCGTGAACATGTTATCTGCTCCAACTTTGCTCCCATGTGCCTGGCTGGGAATGACCTCTAAGTAAATTGCAGTTGACAGGGAGGAGGCAGCAAGGTTGAGAACCCACAAGCATTCTCCAATCCAGAGACTGAAAGGCTATTCCCCAAATCCAATGCAAACCTTCCTGACTTATGTGGTGCCTTTTTTGGCTGAGGGGCTATAGGGAAAGCTATATTTCTTCTAATGAAAACATTGTACATTGATTGCAATTTTTTTTCCAAACAAGCCCAGAGTGGTGGATAAGAGCTAAAGGCATTACAGTGTGACTAGAGACTTTGTTCAAGATTTAATAGAGCATTTAGTATATAAAGTCCTTTTTTTTCCATTTGCCTTTATTGTCAAATTTATCTATTTGGGTAAAACCTGCTGTTGCTGTAACCACTTAAACATTTTAGATGTAGCTGGGCTTTAATTTGTTTACTGCTTACATAAAGCTTATGTCAAGGTAAAATAAAAAAAATTACAAGCACATTACCCCATGTTTATCTTTTTAACCATGCTGCAAGTATAGAAAAATAGGTGTTGATGTGCACTTTTTGAATAGATATAAAAAACACATTTAATGGTATATTTAACAGATCAAAAGAGAGCAAATAACAGATGTACACTATTAGAGTTTACATACACATTAAAGTCCATTTAAAAACTAATGTGTGTGTCCTTGATCTTGTCGCCTTTTTAAAGCAATCTGTAGTCTGTCTACACTGTGACCTGTTTGTTGCATATGACATTTTGCATATTTGGAATAAATAAAGAATTTCCAAAAAGCTACATGTCCAACTAAGACTACTCTGTCTACAGGTATGTAATTTACCTGCAGACTGAAAAAATAATGGATAATAGATGGGCAGAAACAACAAATAATAAAAATACGTTAAGTGGAATCAGGAAAACAAACTTACATGGCAATGCTAGTGACAGACGGCATCATTTTTTAAAAAATGTTCTCATAGTTTCACTTAAAGGATTATTGCCGACTAGTTTCTCTTTGTAAGCAATGTGTGCACTGTGCTTTCACCCTATTAAAGCAGAGCTCCAGGTCCCCCCCAAAAGAATTCAACGTCAGCAGCTACAAATACTGTAGCTGCTGACTTTTAATATAAGGACACTTACCTGTCCAGGGATCGAATGAGGTCCTCCCTCAAGTCGATTCTTTCATCAGCTTCAGGTGCTGGGGCTGGCAACTTAAGTAACGGAAACCAGCAGTGAAGCCTTGCGGCTTCACAGCCGGCCTCCCACTGTGCATGCACAAAGCGTGCTGTGCTTTGTGAATGGGTTGCAGTCTTCTGGGACCTGTGAAGTGTCCCAGAAGGCTGCGGGGGGGGTGAACTTCTGGCTCAGATTGCCAAGGTTTTGACAGGTACCCGCTCCCCCCCCCCCATAAAGTGCCAAATGTGGCACTGAAGGGGGGAGGATGCAGACAATCAGAACTTTTGAGTGAAGTTCCGCTTTTAAGTGTCACTAAACCCACAGCAGTAAAATCAGTCTGTATATGCAGCAGAGCATGCTTGTTATACTCACTGTGGAACCTAAGGGGTTCATCCTCTGCATTGTGTAAAAACACTGTTTGATCCTGACTTTTCTGATCCTCCCGTTCTTCCAGTGTCCCCTCTTATCTCCTGATAAAACATATCGTGTGGAGTCACTCTGCACATGCTTAGTTTGGTGTGTATTGCTAGAGAGGTTTTTTTTTTCCTTGGGAGAGTGCATGTGATCATCACAGGGTCAATCAGCGCTGCCCAGACAGAGGGTCAGTCCTTCTGCATCTTCCTATAGAGCAAAATCAAAACTCCTCCCACAAGCTTTAACATGTGCTGTGCTGGACACTGATAGAAGTCATAAGACTGCTCTAACTGCTGATGAGAAAAGGTATTTAGCCGTTTATATTTACTAAAATAATTGCATTTCCATGTTCTGTGTACTGTGGGAGACCAGATATAGTGAATGCAGGGTCCTGGGTTTAGCAACACCACTTCATGTCCGGACACTTTTACCCCCTTCCTGTCCAGGCCTATTTTCAGCTTTCAGCGCTGTCACACTTTGAATGACAATTGCGCGGTCATGCAACACTATACCCATATGAATTTTTTTGCATTTTTTTTAGACAGATAAAACTTTATTTTGGTGGTATTTACTCACCACTGGGATTTTTATTTTATTTGCTATATAAATGAAAAAGTCCAAAAATTTTGAACAAAAGTGTTTTTCTTATAAACTTTTGCAAATAAATAATATTCCTTCATAAATCTTGGCCAAAATGTATTCAGTTATCTTTTTAGTAAAAAAAAATAACCCAAATTAGTTTATAACCAAAAATTATAATTTAAAAAAACATTTTTTTAAATTTTTATTTTATTTTTTTATATTATTATTTATGTTTTTTTTTTATTAACATACTGTCACCCTGTCACCATAGTGACACTATACTACTTGTGAGGGGTGATGAAGATTTTTTTTTTCTTCTACACTGATTTTTTTTTACACCCATTAATCTCCCTAGTGGTATGATTATTTCAGATTTTTGGTGCTGAAAGCGGTACCATTATTTTGCATGGAAATATGTAGTTTTTTTATTGTAGCCTGTAATTTTTAGGAATAACTCACTGAAATCTGTACGAACAAGAGTCTATTAAACATCCCGGGTATGATAAAATTTGAAACACGAAATCATAAACTATAAATTTAATAAATAATCATATTATAATAATATTCAATAATATAATCAAACCAAAAACACTGAAATTTGAAATAGAGCGCCAAGTTCGCACATCGCTGAGCAAATTCGCAAAATCGTTTTCAGTGTCTGATGACGAATTTCCCCACGAATCATTATCACTCAATTCTGAAAGTGGTTCTGATTTATCACTGATGTATCGATGTTCTCTAGCTGGTCTAAAACCGCTTTTGACCTAAAGGGACGCTTTTTGGATGCCATGGACTTTTCTCAGTTTCCAGGCAGAAAGAACAGACAAAATGCAGGCAGGGCACAGGACAAAGCACTAGGGACAAAATGTATGTGAAATGGGTTGAAACAGCAATGTTTTACTATGTAAAATTTGTTTGGAAAAAAATGACATTTTTTTAAATTTTCAAATTTCCCGCAGCTGGCGGTGCTCGTACGTCCCGACATCACAGGGACCGGAACGCAGAAGCCGGATGCCGGCATCGGCCGGAGGAGATGGCCGGGGACGCTGCAGGGGACACATCGCGGGAGCGAAGGACAAGGTAAGCTCTGCAGGGACTCCCTATGCAGCGCCGCATGGTAAGCCCGAGTGTAGCTCGGGGTTACCGCTTTTGGTACAGACATTTTACCCCGAGCTACACTCGGGAATACCGCTAGGGAGGTTAAGGCTGTAAAAGCAATAATTTTCCTTCTCTCTGGTTGCATTCTTGCAGCCATTGAGAAATACTTTGTGAGGTGTGATTGGTCACAGCTTGTCACATGGTACAAGGCTGTTGTGAATAGCCTTGTACCATGTGATCTCTGTGATCATTCACAGATTTCACACGTAGTAAGCCATGATGTCGGAAGTGACAACTTGCTTACTACTATTCATGTGATCGGGACCTCACACAGAGGTCCTGTACAGCGATCGGTCCTCCAGACACAGCGGGCACCAGATTGCGGTGCCACGTGCTCCCAGGGAGCATGCACAGTCCAAAATGGCAGGCGCCATTTATGAACGGCAACCCGCTCCGGCACTGCTCTCGTCCGGCCGTTTATATACATTGGTCGGGCGTGAAGTGGTTAAATAAATACATTATTATGACCTTTTATTATGAAGCGTACATTGTTAAATAAGAGCTGCGCTGAACCCCATAGAGGGCCTATGCTGATTGGAGTGATGATGCTTTCTGTCTTAGAGCTTTTGGCAGATGATTCTGGGGTGCCAGGTTTGGCACCGTTTATTATGAGTGTGATTTTTTTTTTTTACTGTTTTAATGATGGTTTTTAATAAACGGGGATACGCTAAGAGGAATGATTCTCTTTGATTCCCTCTCCTCTATGGGTTATGAGAATTAGTGAACACCGGTCCCTGGGATATCACCACATACAACAGGGCTGTGACACAGCGCTCATTGACCTACCTCAGTGTATGATTAAGGGGTCAACATCCTTTGGAGACTTCGGTCCCAGGAGGGCACAGGGTAGTGCACACAGAGTGGATTGTTTGGAGTGGAGTTGCATGGAGCACAGTACTTTAATTATGGCATATGATTGTTGCACTTTTAAGGCACTTATATTTTGCATTGGATTGTATTGCACATAACAGACTATATATTTTGGTGCACAATAATGAATTGTATGAGTTTATTTTGATTTCACAATATTTATTTATATGAAAGGTTGGTGCTATAAATTATATAAAGTTAAGATTGAGTGCAGCTCTTATTTAACAATGAATACAAAGTATGTGGATTTACACATTATTTGAGTGGCAGCTACCGGGGTATTCACTTAGATAAGCACATTGGGTTGATACAGCACCGTTGTGCAGGGAATTTGTTCACATTTTTTTCACCTTTACTATAAAGCATAACAGTATAATAAAGACAAGACACAACTTCTGAAATGTTCCATATAAGTAGCAAAAAAACCCCTAAAATTTAAAACAGTTACCTTCCAAAGGCTGCATAATGGCTTATGTTCAGTTTAACATTATACAATACAAAAGGCAACACTTACATCAAATTTCAGAGTTATCAATTTACCAATAACACATTGCACCATTTAACATCAGGATCAGGAGAGGAAATTCTTCCCCTCCCTTCTTTTATCCCAGGCAAAATCTCATACTAATACAAAAGATTCTGAAGCAGCAGAAAAGCAATTTAAATGCGATCAGCATTAATTGTCTTTACAATAGCAGTAAAATGCCAAAGATTCAAGCAGATGAGATCCCAAGAGTCTGAAGGGAAGCAAAACTCAGGGATCAGCCCTTTCCTTTATTCTACAGTTCTTGGATAATTAAGAAGCAGCAGTATTTTTGTAAATAATTTATAAGCCAGACCACTGCCTTCTGTCTGTACTTTCACCTTCCCCCATTATGCCATCCCACAACTAATTTCCAGCAGATCCCACCCCAAGCCGTCAAGCATGATGATGGATGAAGCCCAAGCATAGGGCAGCTAGACAAGTGTAATCGATACTGAGCTAGGTCGATTTAGTCAGCTTTCATCTTCAACCTCTAGGTAAATTGAAAGTGGTTGAAATTCTGCAATAACAGGATGATACAACAAAATAATACCAATAGATGTTAGATTTTTTTTTCTTTTAAAACAACTTAATATTTTTTTCTAGTATCATGATAATTATTTTTTAACAAAACATATGTAGTAGATTTCTTCTATTCAAATATCCCATAAGATATTTGCTGTGGTTGATTTACTAAAAGAAAGAGACTGGTAATTTGACAAAGTGAATATTAACTTATCAACCAATTATTTGGTAACTGTTTTTTTTATTTCCCTAGCATGTGATCGGGTATTCAAAGTGAAAAGCTGACCTACATTATTGATCATTCACTTTGCAAAGAAAAAAATACACTTTTCTAAGTGCACAGCCTCCACCTCTTTAGTAAATCATCCCCGATCCAGTTATTAAAAAGACACAAAATTACATACATACATTTTTCTAGTTACAATTGAAACAATTGAGTACTGTCCGTGATACTTTTTTTATTTGCACTAACATACAATTTTGAGGACAAGCTTTCGGGGAGTGTCCCCTTCTTCAAGGTCTAAGCAGTACTATTAAAAATCACAAAGTTTAAGCAGAATGTTAGAATGGATTGAGAGAAAAGAAAAAAAAAAAAAAAAAAAAAAAAAGGGCTACAGATAAGATACATCAAAAGTGAGGGGGGGAGGGGGGATACAACACTCACACAGAGGGGGTTAAGTTTTAGCTAATAGATAGTCATAAAGCTGTCGGATAGTGGTTGAGGAATCCCATGTCCAAATTAAGACCGTTATCTTAGTGTCAAATAGAATTATCATTCTTAGTTCAAATGTTTTTTTCTTTCCTGGATGGATTTAAATTTTCCTTTCAGAACTAAAATATTGAGGTCTTCCATATTGTGGCCTGGTTGTGAGAAATGGTGTCCTACAGGTGTGCAGAGGTCATCTTCTTGATAATTCTATTTGACACTAAAGATTCTTAATTTGGACATGGGATTCCTCAACCACTATCCGACAGCTTTATGACTATCTATTAGCTAAAACTTGACCCCCTCTGTGTGTGAGTGTTGTATCCCCCCTCCCCCCCCCCTCACTTTTGATGTATCTTATCTGTAGCCTTTTTTTTTTTTTTTTTTTTTTTTTTTTCTTTCTCTCAATCCATTCTAACATTCTGCTTAAACTTTGTGATTTTTAATAGTACTGCTTAGACCTTGAAGAAGGGGACACTCCCCGAAAGCTTGTCCTCAATTGTATGTTAGTGCAAATAAAAAAATCACGGACAGTACTCAATTGTTTCTGTCGCAAAAATGCACTAATACGGCTACAATCACCTCTAGTTACAATTGATTTTTATGGTGAAATACAAAACAATGAGTACACAAGTAAAAATAATATCTAATTATATGGGTACCAGCGGGGAAGGCTACCCAGGCCTCCTTTTTATTATTGCCTCTGTGTGCAAAGATTACAATTTAAAGTGCATTGGGATTGGTTTACCAAGCTGCATTTATGTTAACTGATTCCTTTTTTTGTCAAATGATCATTTTTGTCAGACAAAAATGTTTAGTTCATGTATGCAATACAAATAGTACTGTTGGATTTCTTATTTATTCATATGAAATGGCTCTTTATGTACCACAAGCCCGTATTTCTCTATTTTATCTCAAGAGACATTATTTTATCTCCCACCACCAAACTGCCTTCTGACAACTTAATAAAACAATCGGTTACAACTTCTTACATTGCACATAGTACTGTCTGTGTCTTCCTATCCTAGTATCCACTGTTACAAAAGACTATAATTTCTCTTTAAATTGCAAGTGCTCTTTTAAGAGTCAATTTTTAATTTAGAGGGCTAGAAAGCAACAGCTTAGAGACCTTCATTCTTAGTGATTGTTACAAACTGAGATCAACTTTATGAAAGCATAAAGCATGCAGAATTGGCACACATGGGTGCAATGTGATCATTTTTTTATCACACAAAGAGGTGAATTGCTTGCACAATATTTTAAAGGCAACTTTTTCTCAAGTGTTAACAGCCGGGTATACAGAAAGGAAAAAAAAGGGACCAGCAATTACATACAAATATGGACAATTATCAGACTTTGCACAATATTTGAATTACATTCATGGTACTTTGTATGAAACAAAAGCCCAACTGGTATTTCAGTTTAAACCAGTTAACTACACTCCAGGCCATAACAAAAATATGCAGTCTTTGTGCTCAATCACCCCAGAATACAAGAAGGGTACCCAGAGCATTATGGTTTGGCTATAGAGGGAACATAGCATAGCTGCTTGCTTTTTGGTACCCTTTCTCAGATTGAAAATTTCCACTGAGCCCTCTGATAAGGGATAGTTGACTGCTGGTTAGTCAATGAGCTTCTTTTCATCAAAGAAGTAAACAGAAGTGAACATGAAAATGAGCCTAAAGCTCCACCTGCCTCCTCAAATACAAATTATCAGTATACCGTATGTTTATTTACCTGGGTAAATATCTTAATCCTGTCCATAATGATTAAAGAAATGCACTTCCTAAACTGGAAAAAAAACATGTTTTCTCTTTTGTCACTATATACAGTGACATAATGAAAGACAAGGTGGTTGAGGGAAGGCATGTTTCACCTCACGTGCTTTTACAGTATATGTGGGAAACTAAGATGGAATCCGGTTCACGTTTTCTGGGCCACCTTGGTAGTGTGTATTCCAAGTCAAGTTTTGCTTCTCACTTTTGACCAGCAGCAGGTGGAATAAAGAAGAAAGGGGAGCTGCTGGAGCTCTGGCCTGGGATTCAGGAAAACTACTTATGAGAGCTGCATGTGGAAATTGCTCTGCAAGAGAAAGAAAATGTTTGAAACACATTTGTTTTTGTTGGTGAATGGGAGAAGCTTTTCACCTGTCAGAAAGCAATCTGTATTGTTTAGTTAGTGCTTGAATGGTGAGGATTTATTTTATTTGTTTTATTTTGTATGCTTTACTGCAACAATTTAAAAAAACTGAGTACAAGTTGTAATTTTTAGCAAGACCTGCCATTTAAAATACCTTTTTTTTCCAGGGAAGGTAATCCCCATGTGAACTAACCTTACAAATGGTGGAAAATGTGGACAACCTGCTGAGCAGGTGGAAAGATGGAGAAATATGATGAGTGTTGCCGTAGGCTACTGCAATCCAGCAGGAAACAAACCGCCAGTTCTCAGAGATTAAGCAACAGATGGCGGAGATTCAGCAGAAGGCCATTACAGTTTAGCAGTGGGCAAATCACCAGTCTGTGGAGGTCCAGCTAATAAAATGAAAACTCCTCACAAAGGTGGCCCAACACCTCATGGAGTTAAAGAAGGTCTCCGCAGGTCCACTACCCATGGAACAGAAAATTATCGAGTCCAGTCCAATCCATTATGCTCCCCAATCCTCAAATCTGATCCACCTTGTGGGGATCGTTGGCTTGATTTAAAACTTACCTTTTCGTGGAGCTAGTGGAGAGTTTAGTTAACCCCATATAGGTTGC